GGGAGAGGAGGAGAGGGGAGAAGGGAGGAGGAGGTCGCTGGAGAGGAGGAGGAGGAGGAGGTCGCCGGAGAGGAGGGAAGTATGGTGGAGGAGAGGAGGGGAGATGGAGTGGAGGAGAGGAGGAGATGGAGTGGAGGAGAGATGGAGTGGAGGAGAAAAATGAAGAGGTAAGGAGGAGAGGACCCCGCCCAGCCATATATACGGCATAGTAATGGCGCACGGTGGGCAGGTGCGCTATTACTAACTTTTTTTTGATTTAGTCTGAATTTTGAAGGCGGGAAGATAGTAATGGCGCACCTTAGGCAGGTGCGCCATTACTATATTTTTTTTTATTTTTTGGATATAGTTTGAATTTTGAAGGCGGGAAGATAGTAATGCGCACCATGGGCAGGTGCGCCGTTACTGAGTTTGATTTTTTTTGAATTTTTTGCCTCTCCAGATCTTGAAAGCCCCGTAACTTTTTTCTGTTAGGTTTTTGAGGATTCTAAAAATCTTCAACGGGGTTTTCCCGGATAAATTTGGATATAACTTTTCGAGTAGATGATTTTTCATATAAAAAACTTTTTCATCGGAGTTCGTATGCAAAAGTTATGCCAATTTTTACAAATTCTCGAGAGATTTTGCAAAAAAATTCGAAAATTCATGTTTGTAAATTTTGCTAACAACTAGACCACATATCACATGGGAATCTTATTTACTTTTATTTTTTTAACATTTCTATCATTTTCTTTTATTTTTTTAAACTGAAAAGGTGGTCGGGGGTGCATTTGGTGAATTTTTTGTAAGACTCGGACGTGTGATGTGTACATGTTAGTAGTGGCGCACTGTGGTTGTGGTGCGCCATTACTAGTTTCAACTAGTAATGGCGCACTATCCCCTGATGCGTCATTACTAGTTTAAAAAAATTGTTAATAATGGCGCACAGAGTGTGTGGTGCGCCATTACTAGTTTTGGAAAAAAATTGTTAGTAGTGGCGCACCGTGGGTGTGGTCCGCCATTAGTGATATGGACACCAATGGCGTACCTACACATGGTGCGCCAGCTATATAGCAGTGGCGCACCACATATGTGGTGCGGCATTAATGTTCATATTAGCTATAACCTTTTTCCTAGTAGTATGAGTGTGCGGCCTCCGTGGCGGGGTCTATCCACCCGTCCTCGGATGGCACGATCTGCTCCGGATCTAAGGCCAGGGCAGCTGCAGGTGCGTTCTCCTGAACACTGTCCGGTGGCAGATCTAAGTCATGCTCATCTTGACTGTACGACGCACCTGTCATGGGATCGAATTCGTCGAAGATCAAGTCTCCTCGGATGTCGGCAGTGTAGTTCAGGCTTCCAAACCTGATCTGATGGCCAGGGGCGTAGCTATCGATCTGCTCCAGATGGCCAAGCGAGTTAGCCCGCAGTGCGAAGCCGCCGAATACGAAGATCTGTCCGGGGAGGAAGACCTCACCCTGGATCGCGTCGTTGTGGATGATTGAAGAAGCCATCAAGCCTTACCGTGATGACACAGTGAAACTCTCAATGAAAGCACCAATGTCGGTGTCAAAACTGGCGGATCACGGGTAGGGGGTCCCAAACTGTGCGTCCAACGCTAATGGTAACAGGAGGCGGGGGACACGATGTTTACCCAGGTTCGGGCCCTCTCTATGGAGGTAATACCCTACTTCCTGCTTGATTGATCTTGATGATATGAGTATTACAAGAGTTGATCTACCACGAGATCGTAGAGGCTAAACCCTAGAAGCTAGCCTATGATTATTACTGTTCTTGTCATACGGACTAAATCCTCCGATTTATATAGACATCGGAGGGGGCTAGGGTTACACAGAGTCGGTTACAGAGAAGGAAATCTACATATCTGAATTGCCAAGCTTGCCTTCCACGCAAAGGAGAGTCCCACACGGACACGGGACAAAGTCTTCAATCTTGTATCTTCATAGTCCAACAGTCCGGCACAAGTACATAGTTCGGCTGTCCGAGGACCCCCTAATCCAGGACTCCCTCAACGGGCTAGACCATCACACGTTTACATTTGGTTTTAGTGGTCTTTCTTTTCTTTTTTTTGATTTTCTTTGGACAGATGCATTTTTTTTCTATTTTCTTCCGTTTATATTTTTCAATTGGTTTCTTCTAGTTATTCCTTTTCTTTCAGATTTTATTTATTTATACATTTCATTTTTTTTTCATTTTCAGACTTTTATGTGTATACATGAACATTATTTAAATACACGATGAACATTTCATGTGTATGCATGTTTTTTAAAATCCATGAACATTAATTAAATAGAAAAATATGAGATGAGCTATTGCACACATGAACTATTTAAATT